GCTCTTCCCTAAGTTCTTTTGGAGGCAGTATTAGTTTAATACGTAAGATATTCTGTATAAGCTAAAGATGGCATTTTTAAAAGTTTGTCTTTCCCCGTCCCATGATGCCTTTTAGATACCAGCTAGTGGAGAATGCACAAGATGATGTTTGCTAACAGCACTGGTTTGGTTAACAGTTTGTATTTCTGGCTGTAAGCTGATAGTTCTCTTCCCTGCGCTGAATCAACGCTAACTTGGTTCTGGGTATGTTGTACAGAAAGGCCACTGGCAGACAGGATCGCTCTCTTAGTTGTTGTGATTGAAGCTAGTGTTACTGATAGGAGGAGTTCCCTCCTCAGTCACCTCATATAAAGATCACCACTTTGAAAATCCTGCAGGCTGCCTGCATAGCCTGTATACCTGAGCAGGAACCTACCTGCCATTAGACTCCAGGCTGCTGCTCAGTGGAAGCGTAAGCCATCTGGAAGGGGAAAGGGGGAAGAAAACAAACACGTAACTGCTTCTGCTAGCACTTGCAGCGGTGTCTGGGGATCCTGTTTTGTAACTCTGTCACAGGTAGCGTGTCTCCCACCATAGTTTTACATCTGTCCTGTGTTCTGCAGGTTTCCTCGTTTCACCATACTGTTCCTTTGTCTTGCAATGCTTTTTTTGGTCTCTCAGCTTCTATCCTGGTGGTTTGTGGATATCTGCTTCTTGGAGAGGCACTGTAATTCTGTAGCGTCTGCTGTTCATACAGTCTGGATCTCAGTCCCACCAATGTGAGGTTGTGGTCCAGACATAAAAGCAGCACTCCAGGTTATGAAAACCATTCAGTGCTGGAATGGTTTCTGATGGGGGTACATCTGCCACAGCAATCCTGATGGCACCTGCTGCTTTCAGTGACAAATAGGTTTAGAGTGCTCCTCAGCACCTCTCTTCAGCCCGCGTGGATTGTGCTCTCAAGCCTTCTCTGCAGAAATCTTTCTCACATTTCTGAAACAGGATGATAAATGCCTTCAGATGCTTTTGGAAACCTCCATGGGGATGCTGGGAACTAAAACTCTTCTCCCACACTCTCCATGGAACTTCTGAAGGTCTTTGAAATCTTGCGTAAATTACTGCTTTTTAAAGCACTGCTAGAAATGGAGAGGTGAGCACCAGAAAGGCAGTGTATGAATATGGGGCAAAGCTGGCTGAAATGGTTTCGCATGCGAGAATGTACCTGTCCTTGTAACAGGACTGGTGCTCTCTCAATGGGTCAAGAATTCAGCTCCCTGGTTATACTGATGCCAGTTGTGGCCCTATACTAAAAGGTACAATTTTGTTCCAAAAGCTTTTGTTTTATGTGAAAAATGCACTGCGTCTTCCTTAGCATTTTCACATTTATGCTTTGTGTGGTTCTTGAGAACTTAAAAAGCAGTTGATAAATTTAACCCAAAAGCTAGCCCGCTGGGAACTTCAGCACCTGGTCACAAGCACTCCCAGCTCATCCACTGAGAGAGGCAAATCACGACTGCACCTGGAATGAAGTCATTTGTTTGATTTAATATGAAAATTAATGGTTGCCTGTTCTTGTTATTCTTTGGAACCGAAAGTTCTCCTTAGCAGGGATTGCTGTAAGAAGTTTTCTTTCAGAGAAGCACAAATAATTGCCTTCTTTCAATGTGTTTGCCATCTCCTATTGAGTTGAGGCACTAGTGATCAGTGTCTTTCAACAAAAGAGACTGTAAGCTATCCTAAACGAGCATCTCGGCTTTCTGGGTTCATTCCCTTAATTTTCTGTTTTGAGTGTATGAAGTGTCACTGATATTTAATTTAGCCAGAGCCACTCCTGGGCAAGGCAAGGCAGTGAAGCAAGTTATCCATCATGTAAGCAGGAGAACACCAGCTCTGAGCACAAACACCTTCTTGCCCTTAGTCCTCCTGGGGCAGAAGGTGGTGACAGAGCATGCCAAGGACAGCTCCTGGTTTTAGGATCACTGTGGAGAGCAGATGAGGAGCCAGGCACTCAGGGAGATACTGGTTTTGTACAAGTTGCCTGTTATAGCAGGGAATGGGGCTTAATGATTTAAAGAGCCATATAGCACTATGCTTGATTTGGGATACTGTCATAGTCCCCGAGTGGCTTCCCCTCAGCCTAGAGCTGTGCTACAGCTCTATTGGCAGATATATGGGATCTCACTTTTTTTTTTTTTTGTGCCTGGAGTGGCATATAAAGAGTATGCGGAGAGCAGCCTGATGCTGGACATGTCCACTAGTGAGACTGGACTCAGGTCAAGAGGCAGGTACAAGAGGCTGGTGTTGCAGGGTAGGCAAGCAGAGAGGTTACTTAAATGCTTTCTCAGAGGTGACTTCAGAGGTTCTGCACAGTGCAGGTCAGCAGCCCCACACCCGTTGTGTTTTTGGCAAGCCTTGGTGGTGAAAGAAGCGTGGCCAGCAGGTCGAGGGAGGGGATTCTCCCCCTCTACTCTGCTCTCGTGAGACCCCACCCGGAGCACTGCGTCCAGCTCTGGGGCCCCCAGCATAAGGAGGACATGGACCTGTTGCAGCGGGTCCAGAGGAGGGCCACAAAGACGATCCGAGGGCTGGAGCACCTCTCCTGTGAGGAAAGGCTGAGAGAATTGGGGTTGTTCAGCCTGGAGAAGAGAAGGCTCTGGGGAGATCTTATAGCAGCCTTCCAGTACCCAAAGGGGGCCTACAAGAAAGCTGGAGAGGGACTTTTTACAAGGGCATGTAGCGACAGGACAAGGGGCAATGGCTTTAAACTGAAAGAGGGTGGATTGAGACTAGATAGAAGGAAGAAACTCTTCACTGTGAGGGTGGTGAGGCACTGAACCAAGTTGCCCAGAGAAGCTGTGGATGCCCCATCCCTGGAAGTGTTCAAGGCCAGGTTGGATGGGGCTTTGAGCAACCTGGTCTAGTGGAAGGTGTCTCTGCCCCTGGCAGGGGGGTTACAACTAGATGATCTTAAGGTCCCTTCCAACCCAAACCATTCTGTGATTCTATGAAAGCAATAGAACGGCACCAGTCTGACTCTTTGTCCTTGTGGCTGCCAGGGGAGCAAGTCTTTGCAGGGCTGGAGGAGCAAGCCCGCCAAGCCATGATGAAAAACAACTTTCCTGGAGCTCTTGGGGACCAAAGGCCAGCCATTCATCCGCTGCAAGACCCCGACTCCAGCAGCAGTGAGTTCTGCCCCTTCCAATAATGGCAAGGTAGTGGACTGGGGAGACTCTGACAAGGGGTGAGGCTAGGTGCTGCACAGCTTGTGGGGGTCCTCTGAGGACCATCTTACACATCTTCTCCTCTGGGTTAGCCCTTGGCTCGTGTGCAGGACTTAGTGTCAGCAAACAGCAAGAGCAGGGCTGCTCCCTAAGGGAAGGTAAGCCCAGAGCCAAGGACCACCACAACACATATTGGGCAATGACCTCACCACCAGCATGCAGTCCCAACTTACGAGAGCAGGGTGGTAACAGCAGTGGGTCCAGTAATTGTCAGGCAAGGTAGGGTAACAGGCTGGGTCCAGGGACTCTACAGAGCACTTCAGGGACTGAAGTGCCCCAGCCTGAGTTTAAATGGAGCCCCTGGTCGGAGGGTGTGGGTAGAGGCTCCAGGTGATGCTGGTCAGGACAAGTAAGGCCTATGGTGCCCTCAGGGTCCTGACACTTGGAATAACTGCTTTTCATGTTCCAGGTGGCAGTGATGATGAGGAGACCACCCAGGATGAAGTTTCATCCCATACATCTGAGGAGGATGCCTCAATGGTGAAAGTGAAGAAAGAATTAGAGAATGCAGAACAACCTGTGGCTGGAACCCCACTGATGAGAGAAAATGAGGCAAGTGTGTACTGGCCCTGTACTCACCTTAGCCTCCCAGGGAGAGAGAAGGGTACTGTCTAAACATCTCCTCTCCCCACCATGGTTTCCTATCTTTCTCTCCCTCCCACCTCCTCCAAACAACATCTGCTGGCAGGATGAAAGGGCATGAAGAGCTCCTGGGCTAGCAGGAACAGGAGACAGCGGGCACAAACTGCCATTCTCCTGGCTGGCCAAGATGATTGTGCAGAATGTGCCCCCTTCCTTCACTTCTGGTGCCTTTCTCTGATTGATTTCCCCTTCCCTGCTGCTACAGAGCAGGCCTTGCCTACCAGAGCCACTGCGCTGGCAAGAGCCTGGGTGTGAGTGGAGGCCATGAGGCCTCTGCCTGTTCTCCCCGAGACAGCAGGAATTTTGCTCAGAGGCTACGTAAAGGAAGTTTCGGACTGCAAGAACACAAACCAGCCCCAGCGGGACTGGGCATGCAGCATTTGATCTGGTCAATGCCTGCGTGCAGTGTTGACTAGGTACTAAGGGAGGGTGAGGTGGCTGTGTGGGGGATCTGTGTGCCTTACACCATGTGGCTTTTCCTCCCTGTAGGTGCCCGGGAGTTTGAATGCTGACCCTATGCTGGGATTGTCACAGTGTCCCCTCTGCCAGCTGGAGTGTGGAAGCAGAGAGCAGCTCATTGCTCACGTATACCAGGTAGGGGATGGTTCCAACCTGTGGGATATCTCTGGCCGTAAGCCCCTCAAGCCTCCTTAAGTCCCAAATCCAGAAACAATCCAAAGCACAGGGTGGCTTTGTTCTGGCCTTTGCGGTCACAGAACTGAGCTTCTAGCTAGGATGTGACTGAAGTTTACAGCAGTAAACTGTGTCCAGAGGGTGTCCTGGGGAAAGAATCAGCAAGGCACCGGTCTGCAGATCTGGAAAGCACAACTCAATCCCAAGGCAGTCTCTGCAAGCAGTTGCAGGCTAAAACCAGGCAGTTCCTTCAGATTAAACACGGAAGCAATTTTTACATCATTCAGTGAGATGAGAAACCCTCCTCCTAATCACTCAGTTCTTTATTTTGTACCTTTATCACAGTTCCTATCCATGTAAACAGCTGTTCTTCCTCTGAAATGATTCCAGTATTGCAGGAAATCTGTGCTGGAATCTCACAGGTTTTGTTGTCAGTACTCTCTTCACAGCACATCAAAGTCTGTAAAAGAAGGAATGAAGGAGAACTGAATTGGCCACTTACCTGCACCAGCTGACTGTCTCCATCTAAGCGCTTCCTCACCACCATCCTGCCTACTGTTAGTCCAGTCATGCTTTGTCCAGCAACAGCAGCTCCTCAGGTGCATTTCTGAAAACAAGGGTCAGGTCTTACAATGCAAGTGTTTCGGCCTTAATTGTTTCTCTTGCACTGGAGTGGAGCTGTCGAAAGGTCTCCTCCTTGCTGTTTGACCTGTGACACCCCAGGTGTCTTGAGCTTGGTCTAGGAGCCATCAGACAGAGGTTTAGTGGTGAAGTGTTCCCATTCCAAGAGGCTGAACTGAACGGTTTGCCGTATCTGTTGAGCATGCCTCAGACTGGGCAGGGAGCTGGGCAATTTGTAACTAACAACCTAGTGGTTGTTTTGCAGCACACTGCAGCTGTGGTGAGCGCCAAGAGCTACGTGTGTCCTGTATGTGGCAGAGCCCTCAGCTCACCAGGATCCCTTGGGCGACATCTCCTGATCCACTCAGAGGACCAGCTGTCAAACTGTGCAGTGTGTGGAGCACGCTTCACCAGCCATGCCACATTCAACAGGTCAGGGTCACCCTGGCTGGTGAGTGGGCTAGGGTACCCACATTAAAGATTAGGTGGGTTGCCTTAAATGACACAGAATTCATGGCTCTGGACCTACTAAGGCCTGTAGGAGAGTTGTGAACACCCCCAGTGAGTGAGATTCCCTCGATCCCTTCCTGCCTGCAGCTCTGCATCACCTGCTAAGACCTCCACAGGCTGTGCTGCTAAAAGGGTGCTCCTTAGCTCTGTGAAGAACTAGAACTGTGCAGAGAGCACTGGGCTCTCCAGTCACTGGAGAAAAATCCACTGCCTCCCTTGCCCAGCAGTCCATCAAAGGAGGTCTGTACTGCCCAGATGGGTTCATCATTTCCAGAGCAGGACTACAGGCAGAAACCAAAATGCTCCTTGTTTCTGTCCTGCCTGGTGGAAGATTATCCACGGACTAGTGGAGAAATCCAGAGATGATGGGGAGGAGCAGCTTGCTGGCTAATTCCTGCTCTTGCGCTCTTCCAACCCAGATACTGCTCTGGGCTAACCCACTTCCTACCCCCCGACATGATGTTGCTTCATTTTAGATATTCAGACGCGTGTGCAGGCAGGAATGGTTTAGCAGAGGCCTCTGTCGTGGGCTGTAGTAGGGGCACTGTTCATTGCAGCCCCCTGGGCAGTCTGAGGTGGGGACTCTTCCATCAGCACCAAGTCTCTGACTCTCTGCTCTTTCTGCTTTCCAGTGAGAAGCTGCCAGAGGTGCTCAGTGCAGATCGCCTGCCGGCACCCCAGAGCGAGGGCCCCTCCAGTGTTGAGGGGAAAGACATTGCCTTTCACACCCCTGTGTATCCTGCAGGCATCCTCCTAGTGTGCAACAACTGTGCTGCTTATCGTAAGCTGCTGGAGGCACAGACGCCTGGCTTGCGAAAGTGGGCGCTTCGTCGGCAGAACGAGCCCTTGGAAGTGCGGCTGCAGCGTCTGGAGCGGGAGCGCACAGCCAAGAAGAGCCGGCGGGACAATGAGACACCAGAAGAACGGGAAGTGAGGCGTATGCGGGATCGAGAAGCCAAGCGCCTGCAGCGCATGCAAGAGACAGATGAACAGCGGGCACGGCGGCTGCAGAGAGACCGGGAAGCCATGCGACTGAAACGCGCAAACGAGACCCCAGAGAAACGGCAGGCACGGCTCATCCGGGAGCGCGAGGCCAAGAGGCTCAAGCGGCGCCTGGAGAAAATGGACATGATGCTCCGGGCACAGTTTGGCCAGGACCCCTCTGCCATGGCCGCTTTGGCAGCTGAAATGAACTTTTTCCAGCTGCCAGTGAGCAATGTGGAGCTGGAGAGCCAGCTGCTGGGCAAAATGACCTTTGAGGAGCAGAGCAACAGTGCGCTGCATTAAGCTACAGCCACGGACTGTGCCACCTCTGCTGCACCTCCCACGGGTGCACTAGCAGGCTTCTACGCTCAGGAGGCTGCTGTGGGTCCCTGGCTGACTCTCCCTGACAGACGGTTCTGGTTTTCCCCTGAACGCAGGAGGAGAACAGAGCTGAGAGGTGTCTGCCAAAGTAGCCCTGGTGGGAGCAGATTCTGAGGATACAGTCTGCTCTGGGGGCCAAGTCACAGCCTGTGAACAGAGGGAAAATAAATTAATGTTCACGTTTATTTAGTCCCCTTCTTTACCTTTTGTGCTTCATCCTGTTCTTGGACCCTTGCCCCATAGATGGGTTTGGGCTGCTGCAGTTCTGCTGTAGGTGAAAGCCTACCTGTCTAAAAAAGGGATCTTGTTTACTGCAGCATGAATTATGGAGCTGAGGACTTTGATAGTCCACAACTCCTCCAGGAGTAAATCCCTCACAGTTTGTGCCCATAGAAAGGAAGCAAAGGAGGATGTCATCGCCCTGGAAATGGCTGTGCGCACCCTTTCTCTTAACACTATCATTATGTGCTTATTTGCAGTAGCATCCATGGAAAAACTAAGAGGAAACTGAGTTCCTGTTCTAAGATACCCCATATAAACACTAACAGAAAGGCTGACTGAGGTAAGCAAACAGCAAACAAGTTTGCTGGTTTACTCACAAGTTAATTTGCACTTAAACAGCATTGCAGGTCTGCAAGTGAAAGAGTTGATTGAATGGTAAACAATAAGGGTAGGTCAGCTCTCTAGTACTGCATGGACTTGCTTTCCCCTTTATTCAGCACTGATGAGGCCACACCTGGAGTAGTGTCCAGTTCTGGGCTCCCCAGTACAGTAGAGGCGCAGACATACTGGAAAGCAGCTAGCAAAGGGCCACTAAGGTAGTGAAGGGACTGGAGCATCTCCCCTACGAGGAGAGGCTGGGAGAGCTGGGACTGTTCAGCCTGGAGAAGGGAAGGCTCAGGGGGATCTTATCAATGTGTATAAATACCTGAGGGGAGGGTGCAAAGAAGATGGAGCCAGGCTGTTTTCAGGGGTGCCCAGGGAGAGGACAAGAGGCGACGGGCACAAATGGAAACACAGGGGGTTCCCTCTGAACATCAGGAAACCCTTTTTCACTGTGCGGGTGACGGAGCACTGGCAGAGGTTGCCCAGGGAGGCTGTGGAGTCTCCCCCCTTGGAGGTATTCAGAAGCCATCTGGCCGTGGTCCTGGGTGCTGGCTGTAGGTGGCCCTGCTTGAGCAGGGAGGGGTTGGACCAGTGACCTCCGGAGGGCCCTTCCCACCTCAAACGTTCTGTGACTTCATAGTAAGCTCAGCTCGTTCAACCATTTTAATACAGCCAAACGCAACACTGCTCATCTGGGACCACGGATCACACTCAAGTTATTCTCATAGTAAATTCCTCTGTGACCAACAGGGACTTTCAGTGGTCACTGCAGGTAACACCGTGGGGCGAGGGGGGGGACCGTTAGTAAACAGAACCACGTAGATGGAAAAGAAAGTTGCTTTTGCTTCCACGCTCAGCAGCAAAACCAATGAGAGAAATGTGGACAAGGGGTGAGCTGGGGAGGAGCCGTGGACAGCCACAATAACGGAGTCTGGAAAATCCTGCCAGAGGGTAGGGAATTTAAGCCTTCTTCAGTTTATTCAAGAGGTAGCCAAGGCGAAATGCGATCGTAGTCTGTACCTGCATGAAAAGGTTCCCATTGCTAATAGAAATCATTATGAAACTATGCAACTATGGAAATTAAATCTAGGCATGTGTAAACTGGAAAAGGCAAAACATTAGCCCAGAAGGACTCATGGTGGGGCAAAGGGGTGGTACACTCTCCGCTATTTTGTTTCTTTAAGAACAAGCATCTAAAAACGCGTGCTGTAGCTTTGTGCTGCAGCTTTGTGGTTTCCAAACATCAGCCCACCAAACCCTGGTGTGCCGCACATCTGTGTGTCGTAGCCTGAAGAGCCCTACTGCTTTCGCAGCATTTCCAGCTAAGGTCTGCAGTACGGTTACAGGGTGGCCTAAATACACTGGCAGCTACTGTTGTCTCTCAATTGCCATTTCTCTGCATCAAGTCAGAAATGGTGACAAAAGACTCCTGCTTGAGATCAGAAGAGTAAAGTTAAAACAAGAAGCAAAACCTTTTGGCCAGACTACCTAGAAACCTGATTTTTCCCTCTTTTTTCAGTCTGAAAAACTTTTGCTTGAAGTCCCTTAAAGCCCTAGTTAATGCTGACAATAGTTGCCTTCAAAGTGCGTAATGTTGCATTTTTTTCATGATAGTGAACTAACCTTACGGTCAGTCTTGTGGACGCTTGCTACAAAAAGCATTTAATCTTTTCAATACTACAATTTCCTCCACGTGCCACTGTAACCTCTTGCTTCCTCACCTTACAGAAGCTGTTTTAACATATCGTTCATCACTCAGAACTGACATCCCGGAGCCGTCCTTGCCTCTCTCGCTTTGGGAAAAGGCACCAGATCTGGAAAGGGTCTGTTCAGTTCCATGTTACCTTGTCCGTATCCTCCTTTGTTCTCTGAACTGATCTCTCGCTTTCATTCTTACCTCTGTCCATTTGCGTACTGAAACCGACAGAGTTTGCTCCTCGCAGTATTTGCTATTGCTCTACCTTGTGCCAGCAGAGAGGTAGCTTCACTCTGCAAACTGCAGCGGAAACTTTCCCTGCAGCGTCACTGGCACCTGATCGTTATTGCAAGGGATTCAAGAAAGAGACCACAGAAAAGCAAAAGTATTTGAACACGGAATTATGGCTTATAGTCCATCTGTCAGACAGCCTTTACCTTGCCCTTGTCACAAGTCTCCAGATCGCTCTGTGTAAGACCAGCAAAGCCACATCCTAACGATCGCTGATGCTACAGACGAGCAAAAATTCTCAAACACCAAAGGAAAAGCTATTGGTTTATATATAGATATATATATATAGATATATACTGTGTTTACAGAGTCAACAAGTTAAATGCAATATTCATAAGAGCATTAACAATAAAAATACAATCTGTGTGTAGCCAAGTACAGACTTAAAATGGTAAAACAGGAAAAAGGATCTCACCAAAAGTACAAATATACAGTACAAATTGATTTATTTAAAACAGTTACAAAAAAAGCACAACAAAATAGAGATTATCCTTAGAATTATTAATGCTTTGTTAAAGATCAGGTAGGAGGAAAGGGGCAGGAACAAGGTCGGAGGGGAGCACCTGACTAGTTCTAAGGCTTTAGATACAATGCGGTCGGTTACATGTTAATACAGCCATTACATAACTGGGATTATAGTCGAGGGATCAGCACTTATCTACAAAGACCTCCTTGCCTCAGGGCAGCCCAGCCGTTCCCCCCGTGCCACACGTCTGGTTCTCTGCTTTGCATGGGCAGACCCTCCCCTGGCGCTAAGGTGCCACGAAAGCGGAAAACAGCTATAATGTGCAGGGGTGCGTTTGCGGGGTGGGGTGGCAGCAGCCTAGAAGGACGTTAGGGGCAAGTCCTGTCCTCCGTGGACAGATGTGAAGACCGTGGAAGGGCCTTGACCATCAGCATTTTAAGCCATATACGGAACACACCCTGGGCCAAACTGTACAGAATGTGCACTCGTAGCCATCTTAGCAGCTTCTGCAAAGTGTCAGGCCCTAGGACAGCCTGAAAGACAAAGAGCAGTTGTGAGTGACACTAGGGAAAGGCACGTGTACTGCTGTGGGCAGGAACTAGCATTTGGGCTACTCGAGCTGCTGTAGTTTCCTTTTACAATATTTTCTGAGTGACAAGGATTGTTAGTTCTCTACGGGAGAAAGTGACTTCAAGTGTGGGGCGGGGATGGGGGGCGGGGACACTTAATGTGAAAAGTGCATTATACTTGCGCACCTGCCGGAAAGGGGAGGCAGAGGGGCCTCTGCAGCTTTCCTTCTTTCCAGACAGAGCTTCCTCTGCATAGTCTGGTAGTGATGAGCGCTCGTCGCTTGGAGCAAGTCTCACGTTCCTGGAGCAACAGTGTACGCATAGCCTAGAAACAGGCCTGGCCTCTGCTGGGCAGCTGACCCAAGGAATGTTTCACGGGATGGGACAGACGGCTGCAGACACCCGTTATTGCATCCTACAGACTCTTGCCACAGAGCACGAGCTGGATAAGACCAAGGCCAGGAGGCCTCCTCCTCCGGGGAGGACAGACCACAGCCCTCCTCCCCTTCACAATAGCAGCAGGAAAACAGTATATTTCTCTGAGAAGCCTGTCACGTCTCTGCCAGCAGAAAAGCCCGAATAACCATCTCGTTCCACAACGTCTTCCTGGCTTTACCTCCTCCTTTCCCTGTAAACCTAAGAAATAAGGGCCTCCTCCATGGGCTCATTCATAGCCTTTCTGCCTACAGCAGAGCCTGTCTCACACACTCCCTATTTCAGGAGAGCCTCAACGCTCAACACAGCCACCACCACAGGTACTGAGCAACACAGCCCAACCCAGTAAGGACAGATTCCAGTGATTACGAGTACTGCTAAGCTGGGCCAGAGGGCCGCCAGTGGCCCCTCCTGCCCACCGCCTTTGGGGCAAGCAGCCAGATGCCCAGATTCTCCATCTCAATGCCCCGCCATGAGATGTGCCCCAAACCGTTGCTTCCGTAGAAGAGCTGGCAGCTGAAACACACACAACAGTGGGACTGACAGGGAGTCTGGATAGAAGCACCGAGGTCAAATTCACCCTGGCCTGTTCCACAGAGCTGAGAGCTGTGCTCAACAGATGCGCAGCTAGCCAAAGTTGAGGCCAGCAGCCAGGTAAACACCAGGGCAAGCACCTTCACAGCCCTTCAGCCGCCTACAGTACAAAGCTATTTTAGCCACACAGCATCTTGCCTCATACATCAGTGTCTGCCCTTTCGGACCACTGTTCAGTGCGGCTGAGATCTAGGAGTAGTAGTTACAGTAACACACATGAGATAAGGCAGGCTCTCCAAACCCCCTCTCTAAAAGACAGGGACTTCTGTGCTTAAAGATGCACGAGGGGCTCCGCGCCCTTCAGCTGCTCAGACATCCCCTCTATGCGTGCAACCAGCCCATCTACATTCACACGCCATACGTATGCAAGATCCCTTTCTTAGCTGCCTGCCACAGCTCTGAATTTTTCTGCATGCACCATGCAAAGAACAGGCAAGAGAACCTGGGCTCCTCTGCCTTCTGCCTTTGGCCACAGACACCCTGGATATCCTGAGCATTAAGTACTACCCAACATTAATCGAGGTCTT